GCTCTTAGTCCTTGTCCAGAGGCCCGCCTGCCTCTGGTGCTCTTGGCCTGAGAAGCCGGGCTCGGCTCAAGGAAGCCCTCTGGGTGGGTGGGGAGGGAATGGGGACGGGTGCTGGTTCTTTGCCCCTTGGGGAGGTGACCTGAGGGTCCATCCGAGTGTCCCTGGCCCATCGCCTTCTGCAGGGCGTCCCCAGGTTGCCCCGTGTGCAAGGGAGGGGTCTTGGGAGTGGGCGGGGTGGCCGTGAGCAGCTGTCTGTCTGTGCAGGAGGTTCTATGGGCTGGACGCGGCATTCCCCAGGAAGAACCTGCTGACACGTACGATGGAGGGGAAGAAGCGGCAACTGTACATGGTGTCCAAGGAGCTGCGCAGCGTGCTGCTGAACAACAGCGAGCGTGTGAAGGTGTGTGCTGGCCCGAGGGCGGGGGCAGGGCGGCTCCGCACCCATTGACCTGTGCGCCCCCCTCCCCCGCCTGCAGGTGATCAACACCGGCATCAAGGTCCTGTGTCGCAGCAATGGTGCCGAGGAGTTCGACTGCGCCTTCCGGCTGGCACAGGAGGTAGGAAACTCGCCGGTGCCACGGATGCTTTGCGTGTGACCTTACCGTTCACAGCGTGGGCATGGTGCGGGGACGCCGCCCTCGGCCCGCCACTGTCCTCAGGGCACAGTGTAGAGCAAGGGTGTGAGATGGCCCGTCAGCTGGGACCTCAAGCCCTGCCTGTGCCAGCCCACCCACCCTGTGATGTAGGGCCCTGCCAGTAGGGGCTCTGTGTGGTTCTGGCCCGTTCTCCCTGGTGAGGGTGCTGGGTGGTGGGTTACCGTTGTTCAGCAGCGCCCCCCTCCCTGCCAGGGAATATACACGCTGTACCCGTTCATCAAGTCCAGGATTGTCACTGTGTCCTTGGAAGATGTGAAAACACTGCTGACCCAGGAAAACCCATTTTTCAGGAAGTTCAGCAGTGAGACGTACAGCCAAGCCAAGGACATGGGTATGTGGTGGGTGGCCTGGGCCGGACTCCCGTCGTCGCTGAGCGTACCCCTGGCTGGGGGTGGACACCATCCGGGTCAGAGGCACTCTTGGGGATAGCGGTCTTTATTCCTAGACTGCTGGGTGAGCGTGGGCTGCTGACCGTGGACACGTCAG